AGCTCCAGCTCAAGCCGGGCAGGAGGGCTGGACTGGCCAGAGGCCGGTGAGGGGCCCCCCAGTCGAACCATCCGTGCCCCGGCCATGCGGACTCTGCAGAGATTCCAGAGCAACCACCGAAGTCGCGGGGGCCCTGGGGCAGTGCCGGGGGCTGGCCTGGAGCCTGTGCCCCGAGCTCCGTCGGTGCGCAGCCTCAGCCTCAGCCTGGCGGACTCGGGCCACCTGCCTGACATGCGTGGGCTGGACAGCTATGTGGGCCATCGCACCCTGCAGAGGCTCAGCAGCGGGTGAGCCGGTGGGGTCTGGGCAGGGAGGGGACTTTGCCACACAGCCTGGCACAAACCCAAGGTCAACTTGATCCTGTCCCTGGCTCTGCAGCTTTGATGACATTGACCTGCCCTCAGCGGTCAAGTACCTCATGGCCTCAGACCCCAACCTGCAGGTGCTGGGAGCAGCCTACATCCAGCACAGGTGCTACAGTGACGCTGCAGCTAAGAAGCAGGTGACTATCCCACGGACCACGCTGTCCTGCCCTTGGTGATGGCACTGCTTGTCCTGGGTTCCCCTGGTGACCACCTTCATCATCTCCCACCTCTCCCTGACCTCTGGCCTTTGACCACCCCTCATTCATCTCCAAGCTGACTGAGCAGACCCCAACCTGTTTAGAAACCTTCTCAGCAAGAGGGGCAGGGAGGTGTCATTTCTGTATATCTGCACACATCTGCATTACCTGCACATACCTGCATCATCTGCATATACCTGTCACCTGAATATGCCCGTGTCATTTACACATCTGCATACACCTGCCTATACCTTCACCTGATATATCTGAGTCTCCTGCATACCCCTGTGTCACCTGCATAGACCTGCACTCATTTGCACACATGGATGTCTGCATGTACCTGCACAGCCTGCACACACCCACACACATCTGCACACGTGTGCCGCAGGCCCGTAGCCTCCAGGCTGTGCCCAGGCTGGTGAAGCTCTTCAACCACGCCAACCAAGAGGTGCAGCGCCACGCCACAGGTGCCATGCGCAACCTCATCTATGACAATGCGGACAACAAGCTGGCCCTGGTGGAGGAGAACGGCATCTTCGAGCTGCTGCGCACACTGAGAGAGCAAGATGATGAGCTCCGCAAGAATGTCACAGGTGTCCCCGTCCCACTTGCCCTCCCACACTGTCCCCCTCCCCTGCTGACACTGTCCCCTCCTCCATGTTGGACCCCTAGCAACTGTCCCCTCCTCCACTCTGTCCCCCTCCCCCCCCCCCGCCCACGCCGTCCCTCTCCTTCCCTTCCCCATCTCCACTGTCTCTGGTCTTGCCCCTCCATTCCCATCTCTTGCCTGGTGTCATTGCCATGCTGGGGACTAAACCCAGGGCCTCCCCCATGACAGACAAGCCAGCCACTGAGCTGCACCCCTGCCCCCTCCATCCCCAGGCCCTGCTGACCCAAGCTTCGTCCTCTCTTGCTCAGACCCAACCCCGTCACTCTGATGGTCATGTGAGAGTGTCCCCAGTGGGATTCTTGGTGAAGGCACAAAACACCCTGGAGGAGTAGGGAGTGTGCTCTGCCTGTCCTCAGAAGGGCCAGAGGGCAAGCAGGCAACCCATCCTGACCACAGCCTCTGGCACCTACCCAGGCATCCTGTGGAACCTGTCGTCCAGCGACCACCTGAAGGACCGCCTGGCCCGGGACACGCTGGAGCAACTCACAGACCTGGTGCTGAGCCCCTTGTCAGGGGCAGGGGGACCCCCCCTCATCCAGCAGAATGCCTCTGAGGCCGAGATCTTCTACAACGCCACGGGCTTCCTCAGGTGCGTGAGGTGGGGGGTGGGAGAGGCCATGGCAGAGCCAGGTGCTGAGGGGTGGAGAACGCCTACGGCAGCGTGTCCTCTGAGGCCTGAATGACACGGTGGAGCTGGCCCAGGGGCTGGGAGAAGTGGAGAGTTGGGCCAGACTCAGGCCAGGTGTGGTCACTGGGGTGGGTGTCAGCAGCCCTGGCCGCAGGCTCAGGTTTCACTGAGTCTCTTCTTCCCAAACTGCAAGGAGAGGTTGGGGACGGGCATGAGGGTCAGGGCCAGCAGTGTCCCTGGGGACTAGGAAGAGGAGGTACCCAAGGGCCAGCCCACTTTGGATGGAGAAGGTATTAGTGCCTCAGGATCTCATACCTAGGGCAGTGGCGGGGGTTAGGACCCTCGGGGGGGGGGGGGGCTCTGATCTGCCTCTGTCCCCAGGAACCTCAGCTCAGCCTCCCAGGCCACTCGCCAGAAGATGCGGGAGTGCCACGGGCTAGTGGACGCGCTGGTCACCTACATCAACCATGCCCTGGACGTAGGAAAGTGCGAGGACAAGGTGAGGGCCGGCCGGGCCCCGGGGGGCCAAGGCTCCAGCCCTCTCTGACCCCCTTCTGCCCTCTGCAGAGTGTGGAGAACGCCGTGTGCGTGTTGAGGAACTTGTCCTAYCGCCTGTACGATGAGATGCCCCCCTCAGCCCTGCAGCGGCTGGAGGGCCGGGGCCGCCGGGACCTGACTGGGGCACCAYCGGGCGAGGTGGTGGGCTGCTTCACGCCACAAAGCCGGCGGCTGCGTGAGGTGGGCACGGCCCTGGGTGGACAGGGGCAGGGAGTCCAGCCTGAGGCTCCAGCCCTGGCTGACYGCACCCTCTCACCCAGCTGCCTCTTGCGGCCGACGCACTCACATTCGCAGAGGTGTCYAAGGACCCCAAGGGCCTCGAGTGGCTGTGGAGCCCCCAGATCGTGGGCCTCTACAACCGGCTGCTGCAGCGCTGCGAGCTGAACCGGCACACAACTGAGGCAGCCGCAGGGGCTCTGCAGAACATCACCGCCGGTGACCGCAGGGTCAGTGGGCCTGCTGCCCCCAGACCCCTGTCTTCCCYGTGGTGTACTGGACACAGCACAGGAGCTACTCCCCAGGAGTCCACCCTGTTGGGGGAGGGACACTGAGAAGGACCCATGGCCAGGCTCACAGTTGTCCCCAGGGACAGGGCTCTGGGAGGTCTGAGCAGAGGGGCGGCCTGGTCAGGCTGTGGTCGGGCAGAGGCAGGGGGGGGCGGTAGGAGGGAGGGAAGCAGCCATCTTTGCCCGCACAGGGCCGGCTGGTTCCGCCCTCACGGTCCTTCCCCGTCCTTCCCTGCAGTGGGCGGGTGTGCTGAGCCGCCTGGCCCTGGAGCAGGAGCGCATCCTGAACCCACTGCTCGACCGAGTGCGGACCGCAGACCATCACCAGTTRCGCTCACTGACCGGCCTCATTCGAAACCTGTCTCGGAATGCTAGGAACAAGGACGAGATGTGTGAGTGGGGCCACCCCGCTGGGTTCTGCCACACCCTGCCCAGCCTGCAGTGGAGCACCTCTGCTGGCTTCTCACYGCCCCAGGCGGGCAGGCGGCCAGGATGTGGGCAGCTGGGACAGGACACTCACAGTCTCCTGGCTCCCGCAGCCACCAAGGTGGTGAGCCACCTGATTGAGAAGCTCCCTGGCAGTGTGGGCGAGAAGTGCCCCCCGGCGGAGGTGCTGGTCAACATCATAGCTGTGCTCAACAACCTGGTGGTGGCCAGTCCCATAGCTGCCCGAGACCTGCTCTACTTTGACGGGCTCCGAAAGCTGGTCTTCATCAAGAAGAAGCGAGACAGGTAAGGCCAAGCCCAACCTGCAGCAGCCTGGCCAGGGCACCCGGTCACCCTGCCTCCTGACCCTGACCCTCTGACTACCCTAGCCCTGACAGTGAGAAGTCCTCCAGAGCAGCCTCCAGCCTCTTGGCCAACTTATGGCAGTACAGCAAGCTGCACCGTGACTTCCGGGCGGTACGTCCTACAGAGCGAGGCAGGCAGGGTCATGGGGCACAGCCAAGTGCGAGGTATGGAATGCTGGGGGTGGGGGCACAGAACCCAGGTGGAGGAGGAGATCTGGGCCGAGCGATTAGGGCTCCAGGTCACAGCCAGCACACTGTGGGGAAGACAGGGGTCTTGGCGACAGCAGGGCAAACCCATGTGGGCCCTGACCCAAGACCCCTTTCCACTGCAGAAGGGCTATCGGAAGGAGGACTTCCTGGGTCCATAGACGAGGACCTCCTGGAGAAGGTGTGAGCCCAGCTTCCGAGGAACAGGCTCAGCTCCGGCTGCTTGCCATGGGCCTGGAGGAGGAGGCTGCTGGCATCTCTCCACAGAACCCCACATGCACCTTCAAGGGGCCTGGGCCACCACGCGGGGCAGGGCGTGCAGCTGGGGATTTGGCTTCTGCGGGGCAGGGGATCGGGCAGGGGTTGAGGTTGTTCTGGTCTAGGGGTGGTGACCTGGTCATAAATGGGGCTGGCCATGGCCTGGCAGTGCCTCAGGATGGCAGCACGGGGAATAAAGGTGGCCATGAACAGAGCCAGCGCCCCATGAGCTTCCATAGGTGGCCGCCAGTCCCAGGACTTGTAGTGTCCCCAAGCACACTCTCCTGCCTCTGAGGACTCTCACCCCTGGGTTCACCCATATATTTTCCAAGGTCAGAAGCCACAGAGGAGTGAACAGCAGAGATGGCCTCTGTGCCACCTGAGGTACCAACGCAGCAGGAGCAAAGGAGGGATGCGGGTGGGGGGTGGTACTCATTTGGCAAATATCCAACACCCTCCACCCAACCCAGGCTGGTTCCAGGGGGCTCAGCCCTGCTCACAGGCCTGGAGGTACCCCAACCAGGGGTGCTCATACTGGCCTCTCAAGGCTTGGCCTCCAGGAGGCCTAGGACTCCCACCCATCTGACCCAGAGCCCTCTTGGTCCTTTCAAAGCCCAGAGCAGGAGGGTTGGGACAGGCACACTCCAGCCAGGGATCAGGCAGGGAGCTTGGGGCTACTGAGCTCGCTCAGGATGGGAAAGAGGGAGCGAATGGGTGGCCAGGCTGGAGACAGGGTTCTGGGGAGGACCAGAGGTAGGGTGGAGGGCTTGAAGAAGACACCAGCCAGAGGAGGCCAACAAGGCCCAGGCAAAAGCCACAGGACTTTATTGTCTGGCATTCCTTCCCTGAGAGGCCCAGGGCTACAGGCTGGGGTTGTGGTCCTGCCAGCCCCCGCCCCACAGCTGTCCCCTGAGATCCTGTGCTCCAGGCTGGGGCCAGGGCTACACATCATCCTCAGACACCAGGCAGTAGAAGTCTGTGCGAGCACTATAGTTTCGGGAGCCGAGGTCCGAGACATCCACCTCATGGCCGTGGCCCTCTCCCAGTGAGACACCACCTGTACGCAGTGGAGCTGGTGGCTCCCCAAAGACAGGTCCTTGTACACCTGCCAGGGACCACAAGGCATGAGGCTGTGCTGTCTACAGCCTGCCCCACTGCCTGGGGTTCACACCTGCTTACCCCCAGCCAGGGTGGCACCAGAGGCCCAGGGAGGCCTGGGGCCACAGCAATTCTGGGAGAGGCAGTGAGAAACTTCTGGGGCTGGGGTGGGGGAATCACCCCCTCCAGGGGCTGCAGGGGCTTTCCCGGTGGGGAAGTCCTCCACCCCTTCACCCCAGGCCGCGTGCCTCAGGTCAGGGATGGGGACGGATGGGCATACCCAGGTCTCCCTCAGGGTCAGGGTCCAGCTCGGGCTCCAGGGCCCCGCCCTCCACCGGGCCTCGCACGATCAGCATGGGGTCCTTGTCCTCCTGTAGCCGGGTCTGAGGGTCGCCCTCCACGGGCCGGTACTGCACCTTCCGCGGCAGCGCCAGCTGTAGCTCTTTCCAAAAATCGGAGGAAGGTGTCTGGGGGCCCAGTGGGGGGTGTCAGCGTGAATATGTGCCGGCAGATCCGAAGCCCCGGCCACCCGGGTCCCAAAGAGCAGGGCCAGTGTGACCCAGAGGTCCCCAGGTCTGGCAGTGTCCTCTCAAAACCCCACCCTGCGCGTCCCACGCCTCCTGCCCACCGGCGCGCACCACAGAGCCGGGCCTCCAGAGCAGCAGGGTCACCAGGTGGCGGTGCTGGCGCAGCAGGTGCAGCGCGGGGTGCGTGGGGTCGCGCCTCTGGCCCTCGAAGGTGATGAAGATGGGTCTGCGCGTGAGCTCCAGCAGTCGGCACAGGCCCTCCCTGCGGGAGTGGGACCGTCAGGCGCGGCGCGGCGCGCGCGGGCCCCCCCCTCCCGCGCGGGACGCACCGGAAGCTGTGGCTGCACCAGGCCCGGCCCAGGAAGGCGTCCGAGAGAACCACGATGAGGCGGCGGCAGCGGCTCAGGTTCACCAGGAGGTCGGCGGAGGGCTCTGCGAGCCCGGCGGGGGAGGGAGCGCGAGTGAGGGGCGGGGCCGGCGGAGGGGCGGGGCTCTGCGGAGTGGGGGCGGGGCCGGCGGAGGGGGCGGGGCTCTGTGGAGTGGGGGCGGGGCCGGCGGAGGGGGCGGGGCGCTACCCGCGCGAGGCAGGAGGTCGCGGTCGTCCAGGAAGAGCTTGTAGCCGCGACGACGCTCCAGCTGCGGCTTCAGGATGAAGTTCACAAACTTGCGGTCCTCGGGACAGTCGCTGTAGGAGACGTAGGCGTCGTAGAGCTTCCCGTCTGTGGACAGTGGCCAGTCAGCCGCCGCCACTTCCCAGACCTTGTGTCGCCCCCTCCCCAGGCCTCAGAGTCCCCAGGCCAGGCACCTCTTATACACCAGGTCCTGGACTTTTTCCCCTTCTTTCGACCCAAGCGCTGTCTCTGCTCTCCCGGGCCACACGCAGTCACACACCCCTTCCTGGCTGGCCTACCCCAGACCCTCAGGGACTTCCTGCCCCTACCTGCAAGGAAGAACTCCCTCTACCCAGTGCTGAGCCTGGCCCTGCCTCTTCAGGACTGACGGGGACACTGCTTCCTTCCTTGTCCCATGGGCACCCTTCACCTCCACCTCCCTGAACTCACCGTTCACCTCCACCTCCCCGTAAGTGTCTTGGTACCAAAGTAGCACATGGAGGCGACACTTAATGTAGAGCAGCACAGCCAACAGCAGAGCCAGCAGGACCAGGAGGGAGGCCAGTACCGCAGCTACGTGGCCTGCGGGGCCTGTAGACAGGGTGGACCTGAATGGCTGCCCCTCCAAACTCAAGGTCCCTAGGTACCCCCTATCTTATGTCCCCAGAGGCCCTCCTCACCAACTCTCTGGAGAATGAAGGAAGAGGAGCTGACATTCTGGACAGAGCAGGTGTAGGCCCCATAGTCCTCATGGCTGGTCAAGTTGACCCCCAGGATACTGGATACGAGCATCTTTGAGAAGTTCGCCTTGACCCTGGGAAAACCAAGCTAAACTCTTGGGGCCTGAGAGCATCACTGGATGTCCCAGGGATCCTTCTGTCTGGGACTCACCCAGGAAGCTGCAGATCTGGGCTTCCTGGGTAGTTCTTGAGCCATGAACTAAGAGAATGGCCAGAAGTGTCTGTTCTAAGACAGTTACCTTAAAACTGAGTCTGGATCCAGGGGGCTCCTCTGAGCTCAGATTTGACTGGAGGGTCAATACCTCACTCAAGTCCTAGGATTCTGGTGGCACACACCGCCCTGGGCAGTCTATAAGATGAATGTCTACAGGGTCATGAAAATGCCAAGATCTGTCCCTGTGGTCACTGACCTTCATCTGTATCCACAGGGGCACTCTGCCCATGTCAGATTGGCCAGTCAGTATCCAGCCCATATCCAGGTGGTTACAGACAAGGGTGTGTTGACCCTGGACACCCCAGTCTCTTACCAGAAATCCTCATGGAGGACGTAGTCACTTCCATTGCCCAGTGGAAGCCCATCTTTTAGCCACTGGACTGAAGGCTGTGGGCAAGAAGGCCCAGGGACCACCCAAGCTGTGCAGTTGAGTGTGACTGTACTACCCAGGGAAGGCCCCAGGAGCTGGTCTTCAGAGGGGGAGAGGAAGTCAGGGGCCCTGTCACAGACTCCTGTAGAGAGAGGACACAGTGGGTCAGTTCATCCACAGGTGGTCTGTGGTCTAGAAGACAAGGCAGCAGATGAGGGGTGGGCTCTGTGTTCCTGCTACAATCATCCATGAATCCCATGGGGACAGGACCTCGCATTTGACACTCTTCCCCCCACAGTGGCCAGTCTGTGTTCTGCCTGTCCTAGATGTGACCACCCTGTGCTTGGAGGGGACATTAGAAGGGAGGGAAGTGACACAGGATCCATCTGGCTGCTAGTCCATACAGGACATGAGTCCAGCCCCATTTCCCATCCTAGAAGAGGGTCACTGCACCCCTCACCTGGCCTGCCCCTGCTGGAGGAGGCAGGAAGTGTGGACTGGAAAGGGCTGGGGACCCGCCTGTCTCTCTAAAGGCCTTGGTAAGGAGCCCTGGCAGGAGGTCAGAGGAGTAGACTCCATCAGCTCACTAGTGTAGTCTCCCACCAGTCCTCATCTACCACCCACACTGGATATTCCTGGCCTTTACAGGAATATCCATGCATTTCCCAGTGGAATTACATCTCTTAGCCCCCAGCACCTGGTCTGTGGCCTGTGGACAGTGAGGACCTCAGGCCCAACCTCACTACCTGTCCTGGGTTCAGTGGCAAGGGCTGGGATGGAGGAGCAGAGGCCTTTGTACCCCGGGTGTGCATCCCAGTAGAGAGCGAAGGGCATGGCCTGGAGCCAGCCTGAGGACAGGAGGCGGGAGTCAAGACTCAATGCCGGTCCCTCTCTGACCCACCTACCTGCCATGGCTCTGGCCTGGGCCTCGTCAGGGTAGGCTGGACACTGGTGTGACCCCTGGCTCCACAGGGATCCTTAACCAAGCAGACTGGTCCACTGATGGCTAAGCAGGACCCCTCTCTGTTCTTGTGACCAGTTGGAGAGAGTTCCTGGACAGGTCAGAAGCTGCTGCCATCCCCAGGGAACAAATTAAACAGGAATGAGATGAGTTAACCAGTAACTGTTAGCCACAGGCTCACTGGCCCTATACCAGGCAGCTGCCTGGCCACCAGGGTCAGCCTCATAGGTGCCAGGGGATCTCCCAGACAGCAGCATGGCCAGAGTAGGCACTGCTTCACAGGACACGGCGGGCAGGGAGGGGACACATCACACCTGTGGAGGCTCAGCAGGAGCAAACTTGCATAGAGATATTGAGGGGCCTCCTGGGCACCCCTTCTCCTAGCTCCCAGCATGATCTCCCATACAGAGTCCTGGACTGTTCACAGTCCACAGCAGCCCACACACCTCATGACTCAAAAGGCTCTGCAGACTGGCCATGGTGGCACACGCCTGTAATCCCAGCTCAGTAGTGTAGTCTCCCACCAGTCCTCATCTACCACCCCACACTGGATATTCCTGGGCTTTATAGGCCTCCATGTACCTGGCTGAGGCAGGAGGACTGCAAAAAAAACAGCCTCGGCAAAAGTCAGGCACTAAGCAACTCACTGAGACCCTGTCTCTAAATAAAATACAAAAAAGGGCTGGGGTTGTGGCTCAGTGATTGAGTGCCCCTGAGTTCAATCCTCCATACCAAAATAAAGGCTCTGCAGCATGAGCACATTCCTGTCAGTCTGACCAGGGGTCTTTCCATAAGAACTTGGGAGTGGAGGTCAGTACTAGGGAAGTCCTTGAAGCAAAAGAACTGCCCACTGAGGGTCTGTGGAAGACATACCCTCTTATGCAACAGACTCGTCAGGTTGTGCCCTGATGTCAGAGATTGTGCCTTCAGCCCAGCAGGTCCCAGGACATCTCCTTTAGTGGCCTCTAGACCTCCCCAAGCTCAGAAGACCTTGACTCCCTGCAAAGGCAGCCTCAGACCCTCCTAGAAGTCAAGGCCAAACCACCAGGATATGACACAGCAAGGCAGCAGGTGGCCTCCCCACACCTCTTCCCCAGCACCCCCACACCTCTCTGGCCCCCACACACCTACACTGAGCTCATCTTGGCTGGCAGGCACACAGGCATCCTCTACACAGGATGCTTCCTACCACACACCCCTCCCACTATTGCACAGGGCTTAGGTGCACGCACCTCCCACACCTCCAGGGCACACGCTTGTGACACTCCCACGAACTCAGGACCAAGAGCACCCCACAGCACACATGGCACCTCCTGCTGCGCCCACCCCCCAACACACACACACACACACACACGTACATGCACCCCAAGCACTACGGGCCTCCCTCAGCCAGGCCCAGCTCCAACAATAGGCCCTAAAGCCACAGGCTCACTTAGAGCAGCAGCGAGGGCAGTCACCTGGTTCCAGCTCTTTCCTCCCAGGGGTAGCTGGTCACTGAGGTCATTGCTGTATTCTAGGAGCACACTCCACCTCAGCCAGGTCCCAGGGAGCGGCCACAGTACTGCAGATGCATCACCAAGCTCAGTGAGGACCTGGCTTTTGTTGATGTATATTTTAATCAGAACTTTCCTAGTAGTTTCCTGGCCTTGCAGTCACATCCTCTCCTGACCCTAAACCCCACCCAGGCACCCACCCCTTCCCGGGGGCGGGCAATTGGTGGCTCTTGCCCCGCCTGCCTCGGTCTTCCTGTAACTGAGTCAGACAGCCCCTTCCTTTGGGGCCTGTCTCAGCCCCCCAGGCACTGCACAGAGGCCCTAGGCAGCGTGTATGTGGGGTGCTCACAGGAGCAGAGGTTCGGGATCTTGACAGGGAGATTCCTATCCAGACTCACAGGAGGGACAGTGGGGCAGGAGGGCCACATTCAGGAGCAGAGGAGTTGTCTCTTGCTCCCTGCAAAAGTGAGCATACCTAGGCACCTGTGACCTCCAATGTGCCTGGGTGAGGGATCCTTCAGAAACTCTGGGCCAATAATGAGGCCTAGAATAGGCTCTCTGATCCTCTCCCTGACCACCTCCTAGGCATAGCAGAGGGTCATGACATCTTCAGGACCTWAGCTGCAGGCCAGGTCAAGGAGCACTCCCAGTTTTCCAGGTAAGGAGGCAGAAACAGGAGGCCACAGGCTCTGAGTGTAGGTGGAGGCCGCTGCTGTCTCCTGCTGCACCAATGACTCTCCCAAACAATCCTGGGCTTTGGGGCCAGTGACAGGTAGTTGGCACTGCCATGGACTAGGAAGGGGTCTCCTCCAACACCTGGCCCTGCCATCACCTGCAGAGGGGCAGGACCTCATCCTGGAGGACTCCCTTTCAGTCCCCAACTGGGCCCAGCAGGGCAGTGTCCTCATTACAGCGGCAGGTTTTCCTATACCCAGGTGGCCTGGTACACAAGACCCTCAGGTGACTCAGGTGACAGCACATCTTAGGCTCTGGGCTGGAAGAGCCGGAGGGAACMCATGTGCCCTTCCAGCCTTGATTTCCTCAGTGCCTTTTTTTTTTTTTAATATATATACCAAGGATAAAAAATCCAGGAAACTTAACCACTGAGCCACATCCCGTCCTTTTTATTTTTCATTTTGAGACAGGTTCTCACTAAGTTGCTTAGGGCCTCTCTAAGTTTCTGAGGCTGGCTTTGAAGTTGCAATCTTCCTGCCTCAGACTCCCCAGCCCCTGGGATCACAGGAGAGCTATGGGATCACAGGCGTGCGCACTCTGGCCAGAAGCAAAGAGGGCGGCCCTCCAGCACTGAAGCCTATGCCCCAGCCAGCCTCACCACCTCTAGAAGCCCTAGTCAAACTTTCTGAGACTCTGTGTGTGCATCTCTGTGTGTCCCTATCTCTCAGAGCCACCTGCTACCTTTGTGAATGGATGCCCCTTTCCTTCCTCCCTCTGCTAAGGTCCACTACGCCTCCACCACGCCCCCACCACGCACCTCCAAGTCAACCATATCTCGTGCTCACCCCTTCTGCCTAGCTCACCCCTACAGCTCCAGGTCCCCGGAATCTAAATCCAAGCCTAGCCCCTCACACGGCAGAGCGCGGAAAGTGCCCGCGCCTCGGGTGCTCGGGGCTCTATCCTTGAGCTCTGCCCGCTCTGCTTCTTGGCGTGAGCGCTGTGCGCCCTGGGCTGCAGCTCCCAGCCTGAGATGGCCTGGCCCCGCGGGCCAGGGACCGCTCCCCTGCCCGCCCCGTCTGGCTGGCTGCTCAGCACCCCAGTCTACGAGCGTCTCCGGCTCATCTCCCACGCGCGACCCCTCTGCTACTCTGGCGTACAGAGATCCCAGACGTCTTTCCAGAAGGAAGGAACCCGTGTAGAGGCGGGTAGAGGAACTCGGGTAAAAGGACACTCTGCTCTCCCAGACCACGCCTCAATGTTGCGCGCTCGGCCTTCCGGAGAGGGGCACGGCCTTTGTACCCGCTGCCTCCAAGGTGCAGTTAGCAGGTGGTTCAGGGACGCGCTGAGGGCGGGAGCGTGCAGACGGCGAGTCTGGGAGCGCCCCGAGGGCCGCAGAGCGCAGGTGGCGGAAACCCCGCCAGGGACTCCGCCAGGGACCCCGCGAACCCCGGCCCCAGCCAGTTTACCCGTCCACCCCGGGGCCTTAGGAAATCTCAGGGTGGGGATCCGGGGTCCTCGGCTCCTGGCCGCACTCCGCTCTCTGGCACCGAGGGTCCTGAGGAAGCCACTGACCACGTCGGGCAGAGCGGAAAAAAGCAGCCCCCCACCCGCAAGGCCTCGAGGGGCCGGGACGCGGGCGCGCTCTGGCTTCCGGGCGWCGCGGGAAGCCGGCCTGGCTCCCAGCCACTTCCTGCGGGGCCGCGCCCGCCGCCGCCCGAGGTTCTTCCGAGCCAGGAGCCCCCTGAGCCCCCAACTCCAGGCCTGGAACGACTCGAGAGGACGGCGACTTCCACTCACCTCCGCGGGTCTGAGTCGTGCCACTCGCCTGCTGCCAGACCTGGGGCTCGCGCGGGGGCGGGGCAGCTCACCTGGCCCAGGTGCTCAGCAGCGACAGCCCTGGCGGTGGCGGCAGGTGCAGCCCCGCCCCGCGGCCAGGAGGGGGCGGACCCAAGTGTCCGGCTTTACCCCCGAGGCAGGCGCTGGAGACTGTCCTGGGCTCAGCCAGGAGCCCAGAGCCGCGCGGCCCAGGCACAGAAACAGGAGCCAAACCGGCCCCACCCACCCGCAGAGAAGCTCAGAGCCCGAGGGAATCCTCCTCGGAGATTCTGATGTCCCAGGGTGACTTTGTGGCCTTTCCCTACTCCTCCCACACTTACCTTTCCTCCAGGAAGCCTGTCTTGACCCTCATCCCACCTGTAATTGGCCCTGATGTCTTTTTTTATAATATTTATTTTTTAGTTGGAGGTGGACACGATATCTTTATTTTTATGTGGTGCTGAGGATGGAACCCAGTGCCTCATGCTGCTAGGCCGAACTCCAAACCTGCACTCGGTCACATTTTCAAACCAGAGGAAGGCCAGACCACCTGAGGCTACTGAACACCTGATCTTCCACACTCTGGGCTTCTGAATTCCATATAGCCCAGGGCAGACATAACCCACCAGAAACCTGAAATCAACACTGTCATGTTTAATTTCAATCAACAACTCATAAATGAACACTGTTATGTTTAATTTTATTATAGAAAGTTCTACTCGCTGAGGGGAACCAGCCCATCCAGTGGGGAGCCAGAGCAGTGGACTTGGGGCTCCCCACCCTCCAGAATGGGGCAAAGCAGGATCTGGGGCCCAGATATCAGAGGGAAGCCCAGGAAACTTGGGCCAATTTTCAGGCATTGGAACTGCATATGAAGTCCTCCCAGTTCTGTGGGTGCCAGGATCACCCAGGATTCAGGTCACAGAGATGGGGCAGGCCCCACAGACACACGTGTATGGTTCAGAGATGACCCAAACACACATGGAACGCCTGTGACCTCCACATACCCAAGGGCCTCCCGGGACCCTACACGTATATGCGGCTTCCTCGGACCCTCGTATAGCCACGTATACATCATGAGCATGGACCCCTACGACCACCCACCTATCACAGATCTCCTAGGACTCCACGTCTACACAGCTTCTTACAGCCCCACACACACTCGCACACACACAGCCACGGGCAGGGCCAGGACGTGGAGACAGTGACAGCTGCAGGATCAGGTCTCTGGCACCAGCACCTCTCCACCTGCTCCAGGTCGCCTACACATCTGTGCTCTTGGAGCTGGAGCTGGAGCTGGAGCTGGAGGTAGGGTGGGGTTGGTGGGGACCAGAGGCCAGAGGCTCTCCCCAGGTCTGGACCTGCCCCCACCCAGCCAGCTTCTGCCTGCCTACCCCATCTTATCCCGCAATATCCGATACTTCTCCTCCAGAACCTTGTTCTTCACCGACTGGGGAACATCAGGCACATACCACGCGGCAATAAGCTTGATGCACAAGGCCACATGCTGGGGGCAGGGATAGGAGCATGACATAGAGCCAGCGGGGTCACGGGCTACACAGGGTCTGGAGGGTTGGGAGTTGGGAAGAGGGCCTCCGCCCAGGTCTCCCTACCTCAAAGAGGATGACGAAGGCAAGGCGGATGGCCAGGAGGAACCAGAACTGCTCTGAGAAGTTGTAGTCCTGTGCATTGCGGTAATCCCGGTACCTGGGGGAGGGAGGTGTCTGCAGTCAGGAGTCAGGAGTTCAGAGGGAATTCGTGGGTGGTGGGGAGCTCCAAACCTGCACTCGGTCACATTTTCAAAGCCCTCTGTCTCAACAGGGTCCTGGAAGTCCTTGGTGTAGAAGACGGACAGGCTGTGGTTAACGTAACCCTTGAGGCAGCTGGGGAGGAGAGGAGAGAAACATGGGGCCAGGGTGGAGCCAGGGTGGCCTGTCATTCCCCAGGGTTGCTCCCAGGAGCTGCCCTGTATCTGGTGGGGGCACACCACCAGCCTCTTCCACTTCCCTGTGTGTGTGTGTGGGGGGGGGCACTGGTCCAGTACATGGCTGTGCCTGGGAGTCTGGGGATGGTGAGGGGCCTCAGGAATGCGACCAGCTGCCTTCTCTGCCAGGGGCTGGACACAGCATTCCAGAGGCTGTCCCAGGAGACCCAGTCTGCAGGCACACGGGCCTCTTGAGGGTCAGGGGAACTGGAGGTGGCTGAGCTCTGCCCTCCCATGCTGGAAGCAGGACACAGGAGGCCCACCTTTGGGAGGGGGTCATTCTGAGAGTGCCTGCTCAGAAAACGTCTGGGCCCAGACCCACCCCTGTCGGGTCCAGTCAGTTATTTCTGGGCTCCAGCCAGGGTTGGTAGGCTGCTGCGTAAAGGCAGTACGTATCCCCCTGTCTCAGCCTCACCAAAGCCCTAGGTCACATTGACAGCATCCAGCCATTCCCAGGAGAGAGGGCCCAGGCCCCTGGGGCTTAGCAGTAATAGGGCCATGATCTCAGGGGTGTCTAGATGGTTTGAGGCCTTACTCTTCTGCAGAGTGATTCCCCTGTCGACAGGGGCCATAGCGGTACTTGTAGACGACTCGGGGGATGAACTCAGAGGTGAAGGCAATGACCATCCCATTGGCAATGACGGCCAGAACACCGATGGTCTCCAGCACCTGCAGCCAGGTCCCTGAGCCAGAGCAAGAGGGTGATGGGGTCTGGCTCCTAAGCCCCATGCTTTTGGCAACCCCCCACCCAAGGCTGGGGGCCTGAGTGCCACGGGGCCTTGTTACGGCTCTACCCAGGGTACCCCACTGCAGTCATGGGGGCCAAGGTGTTCCCTAGGAAACCCCAGCTAAGAGTGCAGCCTTGCTCTATTCCTGCACCCCACCTGACAGATGGGAGGAACGCCAGTGTCCCTCTCCACCGTCCTCCTAAGTCCCTCAGCCACCCCCAGACTGCTCCAGCCCTGGGTCCGTCCCCTCCTGGGCAGGACCCCACCCCTGAGCCCAAGGCTGGGGTTCTCACCCTCTCCCCACCTCCAGTCCCCCAGCCTGGCTGACACTGTCCGTCTCAGTGTGGCCATGCTGGATGACCAACCCCTCTCCCTCCCACACCCTCAGAAGCAGCTCTTCTGCCTGGACTCCCCAGCAGGCTGCAAGCCTGCAGCCAGATGCCGGGCTCCAGGGAACGGCTGCAAGGCGCACCCTCCCTGCCTTTTCCTGAGCCCACCGGGCTCAACCCTTCCTTGGCAGACCCCTAAGAAGGGCTGGGGGCCACTGTGAGATTGTTTCAAGGTGGCCTGGTGTGGGTCAACAGAGAGCCCACGAAGCTGCCCACTGCATCACGTCCTGACCGATGTCCTTGGCTTTGCGTGGCACCAGGCGCCGCTGCAGCCAGACCATCTTGACGGCATCCAGGCGGATCTCCACTAGGTTGCTGAAGAGTGCCAGCAGCGGAGCCAGGGGGAAGGCGGCCACAAAGATGGTGGTGAAGCCGTACTGGATCACTGCAGGGCAGAGGGGTCACCTTCCTGGCTGGCAGCACCAGCCCACCCCACCCGCCRCCACATACTCATCTCCATGAACTCGTCAAACAGGCTAAAGTTGGTGACAGAGTTCAGTAGGTAGTTGCGCTGCCAGTCCTGGAGCTGGGGATCATAGGGCCGATGGCTGCGTGCGCAGRCTGTCATCAAACGGAACTTGTGGGCCAGCCACCTGTGAGCGGGGAGAGTGTGGGGGGTAGATGGGTAGCCCTGGGGGCCTAGAGCATCAGGGACAGGTGCTCCAGGAGGCAGGGTGGGCTGGTCCTCACGGGCGCAGGTACTCCATGCAGTTGCTCAGTGTTTGCTTCAGACCCATGATGATAGCCATCTGCACAAACAGGTCCATCATGCAGCCGCTGAGATGGCACTGTGGGGCAGGCAGCAGGTCAGGGAGGGCCGAGTCCAGGGGAGGAAGGGCACAGGGACAGAGTGACAGGGCTCAGGGCAGACAGACCTCCTCCAGCTTCCACAGACCAGCCAGGCGCGTGGACTTCCCAGGGTGACCATTGATCCTAGGGAGAAGAGTGATCCTCGGTGGGCATGAGGGCAGCACCCTGCCTCTGACAGGGTGGGCCAGGGTCACCATAGGTGTGGAGAGACAGGAGAGAAGCGGGCCCAGCAGTGTCGGACACCCAGGCCCGCAGGCCTGCCCAGCTTCCACAGACCAGGACATGCCTTCCAGGCGAGGTCTGCTGGGCCTGGCCTCAGTTTCTCCCCGTGCAAACCGCACGCTGTGTCATGTGGTTCAAAATCATCTGCTTTTCCTCAACACTACAGCAAATGCAAGCTATCTTAAACCAAAGGGGCTCAGGGCCGATGTTGAACTTGGGAAGGATCCCCATGATAGTTCACAGGAGCGATGACTTGAGATCATGCTGGAGCTACTTGCAAATGGACAAGAAAACACAAAGTGTAAATAGTATAAATGTGCAAAGGAAAAAATCACTGTTTTAGGAAATATGATCATATGCCTGGAAAATCAAAATAAACCATTGACAGACTAAGGGTCAAATCAACTGACAGTCACCCAGAAAGAAGACACACGGTGTCAGGCTGCCTTGGCTTTGCTCTACTCAGCACAAGCCTGGGAAATGGGGCTGGAGGAAAGCTCCGTTACCCGCAAGAAATCTGTGGACCTACATGAAGAGGATAGAGACTGTCCTAGGGAACACAAAGGAACGCAGAGGAGCCTGGTTCTTCGACAGCCTGCGGCTGTGCTACCCAACCTGTTGTGGCAGATGGCCTTGCAGGAGATTCTCCTGGGTTAGCTGCTGTGACCACAGGGGCCTCTGAGCAGACAGCACTGACACCATAAGACCAGGGTCTCGGGCTGGGATTGTGGCTCAGTGGTAGAGCGCTCGCCTAGCACAGGCGGGACCCGGGTTCGATCCTCAGCACCACATGAAAATAAAGGCATTGTGGGGCTGGGGATGTGGCTCAAGTGGTAGCGCGCTCGCGTGGCATGCATGCGGCCTGGGTTCGATCCTCAGCACCACATACCAACAAAGATGGTGTGTCTGCCGAGAACTAAAAAATAAATAATAAAAATATTTAAAAAAAAAAGAAAAGAAAGGCATTGTGTTGTGTCCATCTACACCTAAAAATATATATATATTAAAAAAAAAAAGACCAGGTCTCAGAGTGCCCTGGGCATCCGACGAGCCACACTTGACGCACTGGCTCAGATGTGCAAGTGTGGATGGCAGAGCGGCTTGTGGAGCCCCACCGTCTGCCTGGAAAACCAGCCCAGTCCACGTTCCTCAGCAGGAGTTCAGGCTCAAGAGGGTCACAGACAGGAAATGGATCATTGGGAAGCAAGAGATCGAAGTCGATGAAAATTTAAGGGGGAAAGAAACCAATTGAGAGGCTGGGGATGGGGCTCGAGCGGTAGCGCGCTCGCCTGGCATGCCTGCGGCCCGGGTTCGATCCTCAGCACCACATACAAACAAAGATGTTGTGTCCTCCGAAAACTAAAAAAAAAAGAAAAAAGAAAAAAAAAAAGAAACCAATTGACACCTTCAAGAAAGTACTGTCTAGGGCTGAGGTGCGGCACCACAAAGGAGAGAAAACAAAAAAGAACTCTTGGGAATGATTGTTAAAGTTAAAAAAAAAAAAAAAATAGAGGGTCAAAAAGACAGAGGGAGGAAGTCTCCCAGGCAGGACGGGCCAGGTGGAGGCCCCTGTGGGTCACCCCAGGTGTGCCATGAATCGGCAGTGAGCGCACACCTCACGAGAGCTGAGCAAGCACCACCCAGATGGGAGCTACTTCCCCCAGCGGACAGCGGACAGACGCAGACAGGCGAGTTTACAGAAAGAAAGGCTCCTGTGTAAACCAGGGGCCAGGAGGCCGCCCAGGCGGAGGGCCCTGGATGCCTGAGTGCAGAACCTCAGTAGGGGGCAGGGAGTGGGTCACTCTGGGTCCCATGAGGAGGAGCGGCAGGGAGCACACCTGCCCAGGATGAAGGCGATGTAGATGAGGGAGGAAAAGTGGGCGAAGAACTGCAGGATGAAGAACCTGATGGTGAACTTTCTCTCCAGCTCCAAGAAGGTCCGGGGCTGCTCTGCAACAAGAGCAGGCCTGGGGTCCTGCCGAGCACTCGCTCCCGCCCACGCCCTCCTCCCACCGAGACAGCAGGGCCTCCACTCACCAAACTCACAGAGCTTCAGGGCCACTCGCCTGTTGACCTGGAGGAGGAGGGTGCCTGAGGGCCTGCCTGTGGCCTCCCACGAGAGGCCCTGGCCTGTGGCCTCACCCCACCACCACCCCCTGCCCGTCCCCGACCTTGGTCATGACGACGATGATCAGGTAGTGCACCAGGGCCCCGGTCACCACCACAGCCGTGGTCACCTGGTTCTCCAAGAAGGGCAGTGTGCCRAGGAGGGCAGCGGCCAGCACACGGTAGACCACCAGCAGATGGGCCATGCCAATCATGAGGCAGATCTGCAGAGGCAGCAGGGTGGGTGGGCAGGCACTCAGAGGAGCCAGGGTCTCYACCCCACGGGGCTCCCGGGAGTACCATCAACACAGACAGGACCAGGATCACGGTGCTGCGCAGGTAAGAGTGCTGGTGCGGCCGGAGCTGGTAGTGGGGGCAGTTGATGAGCTGGAGCGCCATCTCCTCCTGCAGAGGACCCCAGATCCACGCCTCAGACACAGGACATGGCCCAGACACAAGGCACAGATACGGGACACACCTCAGACAGGGGACAGGCTCCAGATGGGACCCTCCTCAGACAGGGAACACATCTCAGACATGGGACACGCCTCAGATATGACACATGCCTCAGACATGGACATTCCCGCAGATATGGGATCGCCCCAGAGAGAGGACACACCTCAGTCAGGGAACGTGCTTCAGACACGGGACATGCCCCAGGCTGTTGGGAGCTGCCCTGGAGGCAGACCTTCAAGTCCTGATGTCCTGGGGCACTGACCCCAGCTGGGACAGCAAGGCAGGGCTCCAGGTGTAGGGTCACCCACCCGGGTTGAGCTACACTCATTGAGAGGATGGCCTGAGGCCTGAGCCAAAGCAACTCCATTTTAATACCTTCAGTCTCACCAGGACACCTCCTGTGTGGCCTCAGGCACAAACAAGTCACTTCCCCCTCCCCATAAACACTGAGTGAAGCCTCTGGCAGGCTGATCTCGCCTGATAGGAGGGACAGGCGGAGAGATCAGGGTGGGGACCACCAGACCAGATGCTTTAACCCCAGGGTCAATGAGGTCACTGAGAGATCCAGTGGCAGCTGATAAGGATTGAAAGGGGGTCAGAAGCCCCAAAATTTAGTATAAATAATAGAACAAAAGAACAGACATTCAGCAGCCCACACGGATGCCCACAGCCAAGAGCCTGGTGAGGACCTGGACGACATCCCATCACGGTCATCGTTTGCTGATCCTCTGCGTGGTCCTCACGGCTCTCAAACTCTGTGCCACATCTTGACCCTGGTCTCCTGGGCCAGCCATCAGCTCCACCCCAGGAGAAGCCTGCCTTGGTCCCTGACCCGATCTCCACAGGATCTGTGGACTTAGAGCCCAAGGCTTGAGACTTTAGATCCGGCACTTGAACCCAGCGTGCAGAGGGAATGTCTGTCGTGAGCCTGTCGTGATTAAGTGTGTTTGCAATGCTGAGAATTAATCTAGAATTGTTTGCTGTGAATTAATTGATTATGTCTATTGCAGTGCCCAGCACTAAGAATTGTCATTCTCTTGATTAAGAACCTATAGAGTGGGCTGGGATTGTGGCTCAGTGGTAGAGCGCTCGCCTAGCAAGGGTGGGACCCGGGTTCGATCCTCAGCACCACATAAAAATAAAGGCATTGTGTTGTGTCCATCTACAAAACAAACAAAAAAAAACTATAGAGTGAAATTGCATTGAGTGATTTGAGTGAATTGAAAAGGGCAGAAGCACATGGACATTCTTTATTTCTCCCCCTTGACTGCATTAGTCGCACCTCTGCCCATCACGACACTCACCTGATCCTTTGTAATCCTACCCTGTGCCCTGTTGGGGATAGAATGTTCCATGGAAACTCCCTTTGTGTGTCCCCTTCTCTGGCTCTGCCTTTGATCCCCACTCAGCACAGGAGATGGGTGTGGCCTTCCTAGCTGTCAGTCACCCTGCTGACAGCAGACATCAGGAAGCTAGGCTCCACCCCGAAAGCTGACCCTTTGCCTCATTTGAATGGCTTCTCCCAGTGAAAGGGTTCAGCACAGGCTCCCGCTCTCTCTTTCCATGGACCCCTAGGGTCAGAAGATCTATCACCGGACCCAAAGAAAAGGTGTTTCTCTGTCTCTGTGTGATGATTTCATGCAGCCCAGTCCCCCTGGATGACCGTGTTGATTCATGGGACGCAACACCAGGCACTCATCATCTCCTCCTGAGGAGGACCCCAGATACACACCTCAATGGGACACACCTCGGACCTGGGACCAGCCTCAGACCTGGGGACTCACCTCAGAGGACACACCTCAGACCTGGGACCAGCCTCAGACCTGGGGACTCACCTCAGATACGGGTCATGGTTCAGACCTGGGGTCACAAGCCTCAGATGGGGGACAGGTCTCAGACATAAACACAGCTCAGACACGGAACAGAGGTGTGGGCCACACGGACGCTGAAGCAGAAGGCCCTGGTCACAGGTCTGCCTCACCTGGTCCTCGTCCCACCCGTACAGGTCCCAGTGCAAGACCACGCGGGCTCGTTGCCGCTTCCAGATCTCCAGGAACACGGTGGCTGCAGCGGGGTGAGGAGGGCATCATGGTCACCTAGGGACRGCACAGACTGGTGTCCCAGGTCCCYGGGGCACCCACAGCAACTCACCCCACAGAGCCATGAAGATGGCGAACAGCACGGTGCCCTCGTTGTCGAAGAGGTGGGTGAGCTAGGGAGAGAGGCTGATGGGCTGGGCTGGCCCTCCYGTGTCCCAGGGGAAGGGAGGGCCTGCTCCCCAGGGCCCCATGGTCTGCTCCCACCTCTGTGTCCCCTGGCAGCCCTGGTGGCCCACAGTGGCAAACCTTGGCAAACGTGCAGGTGCTGGAGAGCGGCTGGAAGCTGCGGCTCTGGTGGCCAAGGGGACACAGGAGGATATCCTGGGCCTCGCAGATCTCCTTGCTGGGGTACAGGGACAGGGCTGGTACTGGCTCCCCCTGCCCCTACCCTGGCCCCAGCCACAGCCCCCACCCAGCCCACCTGATCTGGCTGGCATCAAACAGGGCAAACCCACTCAGGAAGACGAGGAGGCCCACCAGCGCRGCGGGCACCAGCATGTAGGTGTACCAGCCCAGCCAGGCAAAGTACAGAGCCACCTTCTCCCCGAAGTAGTTCCTGCAGGCAAGCAGTGTCAGAATGCGGGGACCAGGGAGGGCGGTGGGTGTGCGGGCACCAGTGACTCCTGGGCAGCCTTACCTGATGTCATCRATGGGCTGCCTGCGTGCCAGGTTTCTCCATCGGGCCCAGTTTTTCTTCAGACTCTCCTCCCCCTGCCCCCAGACAAGGGGTCTGAGCACCTCCAGCCCCGGGGTCCTGCCCTCAGGGCCCTGGGCCAGCCCACCTCACCTTGTGCAGTGGGAACYTGGTCTCAAAGATCCCGTCGTTCTGCAAATTCTCAAAAGTGTCTGGGGGTCACCAGGGGCCTCCGGTCAGGGCAGAGGAGAGCGAGGAAGGACCCCCTGCCCGGGCGCCCTCTCACCACCTGCCTGACCCGCCTCACCACCAGCTGCCGTCTTCATRGTGCTCAAGATGAAGTTTACAATTCGGATTCTGAAACCCAAGATCGGGGTCAGGACAGCTCCACCAGGCCYCAGTGGACCCAGGCTTCCAGCCTGACCAAGCCAAGAACCCACAGACGGGCTAGGATCYGTCCCACCTTCCCCAAAGTGCCCCAGGATGGATCCGCTGGGGCCCCCCTGCTCCCTGCACTCCACCCTGCACATCCTCCCATGACTTAGGTGCAGAAACCCTCTTTACATCCCTGGGACCCATTTTGCCTATGCAGAAACAGAACTCGGAGAGGTTGTGTAACTTGCCCAAGGCCACACAGCCAGGCACTTGACTGCAGAGGCACACTTGGACACCTGTCTTCCTGAGACAGGGCCCCTGAATGCATGCCCCTGGGCCAGCTCCTCCTCTCAGTCCTTCAAGGTGCTGCTACTCCACTGAATTCCCCTCACTCCTCTGGGAGACTGGCCATCTCTGTGTTCACAGATGCCCCTCCACYGCCTCATAACCAAGTTCCAAGAGCCTCATCCAGAAGTGTCAGCTGAGCAGGCCAGCTGGGCTCTAGGACCCAGTCAGGGCTAAGCAGCGATGGATAAGGGAAAGGGAGGGTGAGCAGYGAACTTGGAATAGCAGGCCCTTGGGGACACAGGAGGCCCTTTCTGCTGGGCCTTTGGGTCTGCACATCCAGGGAGGACCCCCAAGCTGGACAAGAGGGTCTGTGGGAGACGATGCCCTCACCCACCGTGAGGGGCGGCTTGGGGGCTCTGGGCCTCTCCACCCTTCATAGCCACTCTGACTCTGTATCCCCAGGAGTTGCTCATAGGTGCTTTCAGAATTCTCCAAGAGGTGGGACTGTCACCTCCCCTTGTCACAGGCACGGAACTGAGGCACAACTGTGGGGTCTGCCCTGCTGTGGCCTGGGCTGAGACCATGTGGTTCCAGGCTGCCTCACGTGGCGGCCAGAGACTTGGGGACCTCTCTGCTCTGCCTGGACCAGGCACTGGGGTGGACAGGGTCCTCTGGTCTAGTGCTGGGCACGGCCCTCACCTCGTGGTGTCTGGGACAGAGGGCGGCCTGGCCAGCGGAACTCCAGGGGCAGGACTGTCAGGCTCCATGAGGAGGGTGCGGTACAGCTCAAAGATGCTGTTGTCGGCTCGGATCCCAAAGAACACCCGATTCTGGCCCTCTCTCTCCTGGGGGAGCAGTCAGAAGGGACCTCCATTTCACCTGGAGCCCTCCCTTCACCACCTGTCCCCCTCCCTTCACCACCTGTCCCCCTCCCTTCACCACCTGTCCCCTGCAACTGGGCACAGCCTTGGTGCCATCCCCAGGACTCTCTGGCCCTAAGATTCCTGCCTCACCAGCCACCAGCCCACCTTCAAGTCAAAGCCCTTTCTCCTGAGCTCCTCCAGGAACCCATCCAGCCGCCTCTTCTCCTCCGGGTTCTTCTGGATGGGGTGAGCAGCCACGAGCACAAAGTCCCACTGCTCAGGGGCCTGGAGAAGAAGGCGTGGGCGGGGCAGTGGGGGGGGACCAGGGAGAGGATGGGGCAGGTGAGGGACACAGAGAGGGAGGAGGCCAGGGACAGGGCAGGTGAGGGACACAGAGAGGGAGGGGGCCAGGGACAGGGCAGGTGAGGGACA